GACATGCCTAATAAGAGACGAGATGGGCCAGGGCGACGAGAGCGACCGCATTGTGATCAACGTGGGAGGGACTAGGCACCAGACTTACCGCAGCACCCTACGCACCCTGCCCGGCACTCGGCTGGCCTGGATCGCCGAACCCGATGCCCACAGCCACTTCGACTATGACCCCCGCACGGATGAGTTTTTCTTTGACCGGCACCCGGGCGTCTTTGCCCACATCCTGAATTACTACCGCACCGGCAAGCTGCACTGCCCCGCGGACGTCTGTGGGCCCCTCTATGAGGAGGAGCTGGCCTTCTGGGGCATCGATGAGACCGATGTGGAGCCCTGCTGTTGGATGACCTACCGGCAGCACCGCGACGCCGAAGAGGCTCTGGACAGCTTTGGTGGGGCGCCCCTGGATAGCAGTGCTGAGGACGGAGACATAGATGGCACCGGAGACTCTGGTGATGGGGAAGAGGAGCTGGAGATGACAAAACGCCTAGCACTTAGTGACTCCCCAGATGGCAGGTCTGGGGGCTTCTGGAGACGGTGGCAGCCCCGCATCTGGGCACTCTTTGAGGATCCCTACTCCTCCAGATATGCAAGGGTAAGCTATGCAATCAGCACCCTCGTCAAAACACTCGAACCTCCCCCTTCAGTCCCGCTTCCTCCCAGCATCGTCAGGGTTATCTCCACTGTCAGAGCAGAGCAGCCATCCATGCGTGGGGCCACACAAAAATCACGCGCAGGCTATGGGGACATAACCCACGCTCTCAAGCAGGCCCCGTGCATGGGGCACGAGTGGACACCAAGGCATGAGCTCGTGTACTCCTATGTGGGCTTCCAGAGACCCTTATTTTCTAACAGGCTCCTAAAACCCCACAGCCTGGGGCAGGGTCCCATTCATGGGCCAGGGAGATCTCCATTATACCAGGTAATTTCCCTCCATGCACAGATTTTTACAGTCAGTCATCCCCCAGTAGAGAGAGACACCTTGTCCAGCCCTCTTACGAGCTAACGGCTCTCTCCCCTTTACGAGATGGAGAAAGGATCACGGGAGCAGGCAGTCCCTGTGGGACTAGGGGATTTGCAGAGTTTCTCAGCCTGGACTGGAAAGGGAGTCTGTTCCTTTCTCTCTTCTCCTATGTACCATGTTAAATATTTATGATGATGCTTCTCTGAGAATGGGTAATTCAGCTGCTCGCTTACCTCCTCACTCTGTCTTTTCCCTTGTGGGAAATGCAAAGTATTAATCAGAGGAGAGGGTTCATTCATGTAGAAGGGACACTGTGTTTGACAGGTTCTTGCCTGGCTACTGAAGGACAACTCCTCCCCTCCTGGTGCCTGCGGTTGTTTTGGAAAGGGAATGCACACTGGTGCAGTTCACAGCATAGCTGTGGATAAAGATGGTCTCAAACAGTCATCCGACTCCTCTAAGTAGGTACCTTTCATACTATTACATAGGAGGATAATTACATTAATTAGGGCCTGATTCTGCTCCTGACGTCAAAAGTAAAGAAAATATTTACTTCAGGAACAGCAGCAGGATTAACCCCCAAGATACCCATATTGATAAGCAGGAAAATAGATGAAGGATAGTGCCTTCACAAAGAAATTGGTTTGGATAGGTTTTACTCCTCTCTTAAATATACCTTTGTTACAGCATAATTGCTGCCAGCCCTCGGTAGGGATGAGTGGTGCTTTGGTGTGGGAGGATGATCAGTGTTCCCGAGGACGATCAAAGAAGTGAGATCAGATTAGGGAGTAAATCGGACGGATGGAGGAAAGAGAAGTGGAAATGCAGGGAGCAGGGACAGGGGAGCTGGTCGCGTATGAATGGGTGGTGGAACAGCCGCTGCTGGAGACTTTTGGTCTGAGCAGAGATTTCCAGCAGGGAGCCGCCAGGTCTGCAGACTGAATGAATGGGGAAAGCTGGAGCAGAGCCTGGAGTTATATCTTGGTGCATTTCTAAAGGTTCTTGTTTGCATACACTTTGGAGATTTCCTCCCTGAACAAAGAAGTTAATATTTTAAATGAATTCCTTTAAACAGCATGGAGGATAAAGGAATAATAAAATATTTACCACAAGATGAAAGGATGATGCTGTTGAATTGCAGCTTTCAAATCCCTGATTTCTGCCGAGGGAGCATGGAAACGGAGAGGGAAGGCTGGAGGGTATCCTTCCAAAGGCTTAGCTAGCTTCCTTTAATCAAGCCCAACGTTAGCACGCGTTGATTTGAATAGCGGATCTCTCTGGTGCCCAGGAATCTGTTGGTAAAACACATTTCAAGTCAAAGCAGAGTGCTTGTCCAAGATTTTGTGGAATGGTCCAAGAGCCAAATGGGTAATGCTGTCCCAATGAAAAGGATACAAACAGAGGCTAAAACACCCTTTTTCTTGGAAGCATTATGATATTTTAGGTCAGAGGACAAAATCTGTAACCAGTATTAAGAGTCTTTGTGATGTACAAGCTGGAATTCTAGGAGGAGATAAATTCCATTTTCTAACATTTAGGAATAGGCATTTTATAAAGCGATTTGGGTTTGGTATTTTTTTTGCAGTGGATGTTATACCGTTTATTCACAATTACATGTGCATACCTGGTAGAAGTCAACCCCGGATTTACCTCTAACTGGTTCTTTCCTTAAAGGATTGTTAAACTAGAGAAATAGGAATTCTGGGCAAAGTTGAAGTGTATACTGACTATTTCATGGGTTAAATATGATTCTTTAACTTGTATCTATGGAGATGCAGGCCATATGCATTAATATTTTGCATGAAGGAAGATGGCTTTCATCATCAACACAGGCACACACTGTCCATTAAGAAGACATTATAAGACACTTAACATTTTCTAATAAAAGCCCTATGTTACGGTTATGGATGTAAAAAGAGATGGGAGTTTGATTTACGCTCCTGTAACCTAACACAGCCATTGCAAAAAGACCTCAAACTCACAATAGCTAATTTACAATAAAATAATTGATAGCATCATTAGCAAGTGAATGGTATACTAAAGCAATCGTTAGTAAAGTAGTCAGGCAACAAATCCACTGTTACCTCACTTTTAATTGTGTACACTATTTTCAATTACAAATTTCAGTCATGCAAAAATTTAAATTCACATTGCCATTTTGTCAAAAAAATACATCACAAAAATTTGTCATCCTAATTGGGTTCGAGACTTGTACTAATGGTGGTTATTATATACATTTCCTGTTTACATATGGCACCAAAATGTGTGTCAAAAGTAACATTTGATTTTAATAAAGGCATCGGTTTACATAACCGTTATACTGTTACACTTGGGCAAGAAACAGGATCACAGTATATGAATATTAAGATTAAATGAAAAACTGCATTTCTGAATAAAGCAAGATTTCTCTGGACTATATCTGGTACACTAATTCAGTGAATGTTTAGGAACTGTCTACGGAAAGCTCAGCATTTACTCAAATCTAGCCATTCCTGGAGCATTTTGATGAACACTGCTTACAAATACAAGTACATTGGACTGTTTTGCTTCACTAGTACCTAACTCATACTAAATTGCGTCTGATATCACTACAGACGGCCAGGGAAGACTGGAAGAACATTTGTGTATGTCAGGGAAAATCAGCTAACTCTGCAAATTTTGTCTATTTCTAAACTTACTTTGATAAAGCATACGCTCCCAGTCACTAATCGTTTGTCTTTAGGTGCAACGTAGTCAACAGTTTCTTGCTAAAACAATAGTGGCTGAGTTTAATTAAATTCTAGTTTTCAAATTTTTTAAAATTTCTTAAATAAGGTAGTTCTTTCTAAAAAAGATGAAACACTTTAAAAAATTGCATCGTCTTCTAAATCTGTAATAAGAAAAGGTAGCTTGTTTCAAATCACAGATTGTCTTAGACACCTACCTTAATAAGATAAACAGGTGTCATACTTCTCCATAACTTAAAGAATCCCCAAAGTCTAGTACCTGGAGGTCTGAACAGAGTAACAGGTAAGGTGATGGAAAAGACCAGATTTACAGAGGTACTGGGGGCATATGTAGGCAGACAAGCATCCAGGTGGATTTTCAAAAGCATCTGATCAGGCAGCTAAATACTGCATGTCAGTGGATATTGTGCACCTAAATTGGCAACACGTTTCTTTAGAGCTTATTAGAACTGCCTTTTTTGCATCGTCAGGCAACTTTGTAAATTTGTTTTTCATAAGTAGATGCAAAGGAGGAAATAGAGTCCCCCAGAAAGCTACGCAGATACACTAAAGCAGCATATCTGAGAGTTATGTTGTAATAGCGTTCCTGCCTTCTGCACTCATTAGACTTCATAGGCTCCTCGGTACACAAATCGGTGAAAAATATTTTCTTAGCATCCTCCCCTCTTTATATTTATGTCTGGTCATGCTGGTCTTACACTAGCGAAGCTCCCACTGACTTCCTGGGGAGTTTGGCCTGCAGGTATCTAACATCTTTGCCCCCTTCCTTCTCCTCCTCCCCAGCAGGATAAGGTTGTGTTTCTGATAATTTTCAGTCATTAGGTTAGTCAGTGTTTGGGAACGAGGAGCTTTCAGCTGAGATTCTGCGCTAGTGCTCACATTCAAATTGGACAGTTAAGCTTCATTAATGTACCCTCAGGAAAGCTTTTGTAGTCCTTCCAAATAAACATTTTTACTGTTTTTAAATAAAAGCTGGTTGGGGTCCTATGGAAAGTCCTCAACAGCTTGACTTGCCATTCTGGCATATGCTATACAGCTCTGAGCTGGAAGAGGAAAGGCTTATGGCAAAACTCTCACTCGCGCTTCCCTCATGTTCTCCCTTCACATCCTGCAGAAGGATCTGCTTTCCTCAGTGGGTGATTTTTGAAGGACGAGTTTCTGACACTGAGAAGGAGACAGGAAAAAGGGTAGCGGAGAAAAGATGAGAAAAAGGTATTCCCCAGGGATTTCTTCCAGCTTTCTTTTGTACATTCAAGAGCATTTCAACCTTGCTGTGTTCATTTAAACTGATTTTTCTCTACATAAACTACATCCCATAGGTCCAAGAAGGCTTGTGGGATCGTAGTTCCTCAATAACCATGCTGTCTCAAGGCTTAGAGACTGGGGTGATTTCTGCTCATCCTTCACCCCGGCCCAGTACAGCTAAGCTCAGGAATTGGGGAAATGGGAGCGGGAATAGATACTCATCACCCTTCACAAGGGGAGGTTATTCTGCAGCTGTCTGACGTGGGACACCCTTTGCACGGGAGCGCTCCTCGGACAGCGCTCTGGGGGCTCCTGCCAAGCGCGAGCAGAATGGGAGAGGAAGGAGGAGAGCTGCCCCACACGCCTCCCCCTGCCCGCAGGCACCCCTCTCCCCTGGGAGAGATTTCATCAAAGGGGCCCTGATGGAGCTGCTCTCCCACCTTGGGCCTTTCGGCAAGGTCTCCCCTGCAGAGGCACATCTAATCCTGCACCGAAGCTGGCTGCAGTAATTCTCACCATATCCTTTGACAATTAACGAGACAGCCTAATTTTAACTGCACGCTGCATTACAGCTCTGGAAAAATGAGGCTCTTTCCACATTAAATGAAGTTTCCCCTGCACTTGTAGTATAATGGAATTACAGATAGACATCTATTAACT